ACACAATAATCAAAATAGAGTGGTATTAACATCAGCACAGACAGAAATTTTAACGGAATAAAATAGAAAACCTTGAAACAAACCCAGTTCATACATGATAAAGTTAGCACTTCAAATAAGTGGGGAAATGATGGATTATCTAATAACAGGTCTTGGAATAGCTGGTTAGCAAATTGGGGGAAAAAACTAAATCAACTATCTACCTCATATCTAATACCAAAATAAATTTCATGTGGGTTAATATTTAAATTTTTTCATTAAATTATAACTGATGAAAGGAAAATATATATTTTATATAATCTTGAGACATGAAAGGCCTTTAAAAGCAGAGTACCAATGAATGATAACATAAAAGAAATGACTAGAGCAAGAAATTTTAAAAATTAAATTTAAATTAAAAAAAGAAAAATGTTTTGCTATTTGTGACAAAGAATTAATATCCTTAATATTTAAAAACGTCTTTCAAACCAATAAAGAATGCCTCACTTTATAAAAGAGCCTAAGACATGACTAGGTAACTCACAACTTGGCTAAACAAAAGAAATATATAACCTCCCTGATAATCAGAGAAATACAAATTATTGTGATTCCACTTTAAAAAAAAAAAAAGCTTAAAAATAACTACAAAATCCATTGTTGTTGGCATAGAAAACAACATTCAGATACAATGTGGTAAGAATCTAACTTGATTTCAATAAGTCAATGTGAATAAAAATCTTGTGAAAGTTCAACCCTGGACTAAGTATTTCTCTTATAGGAATGTATTCCAAAGTATACCCATTTTCTATAGCTGCCCTAACAAATTACCACAAACTTGGTGGCTTCAAACAACAGAATTTTATTCTCTCACAGTTCTAGGGGCCAGAAATCCAGAATCAAGGTGTCAACAGTGCCACATTCCCTCCAGAGGTTCTAGAGGAGATTCTGTTCCTCCCTCTTCCAGCTTCTGGTGGTTGCCAGCAGGCTTGAGGCTGCATCGCTCCAATCTCTGCCTCCGTCTCTGCAGCACCTTTTCCTCTTCCTTATCTACCTCTTCTCCCTCCATCTCTTTCTGATAAGGCTACCTATGATGGAATTTAGGGCCCATCTCAATATTCCAGGACTTAATCACATCTGCAAAGACCCTTTTTCCAAATAAGGTAACATTTACAGGCTCTAGAGATTGGACATAGAAATCTCTTGGGGGATTGAGGTGAATTTTTTTCAGCGTACCACAGAAGGTAATCATTGCAATAATTGACTAACGGCGTCATTGCAACATTATGTGCAATTTTAAAAACTGAAAACCTAAAGGAATAATCTAAATGTTCAATAGAAGGGTATTAGTTAAACAAATAATGGCACATCCATCTAATGAATTAATGTATAATCATTAAAAGTAATGCTGACGCACATTGTTCTAGTTATCTATTGTTGCATTAAAAAATCACCCCAAATCTAGTGGCATACGGTAATAATTATTTCAGGCAATAATACTTATTGATGCTGAAATTAGTAGGTGAAAGCTGGAGAAGAAACAGGATATTTGCATAGTCTTAAAGTATCTCCCCCAAGATATGTATTAATTGTAAAATAAAAAAATAGTAATTTTACAGTGGAGAAAACCAGCAGACACCATCTTAACAAAGCGATCAAGGTGAAACATTACCAATAACGATATATAACAGCATCAGGTACACCAAGTGTGATCGACTGAGAAGGGCACATAACTTCCAGAGCATGCTTGCCAAAATTCATAACTTTCATCTAATCATGAGAAAACATCACATAAACCAAAACTGAAGGATATTTCACAAAACAGCTGACCAATACACTCCAAAAGGGTCAACATCACGACAGACAAGGAAAGACTGAGGAACGATCACAGAGTGGAGGAGATTAAGGAGACATGACAACAAAATGTAACATGGGATCTTGGATTGGATACTAGCAAGTAAAAAGGACATTAGTGGGAAACCTGGTAAATTTTTAAGAAAGTCTATACTTTAATTAATGGTGTTACACCAATGTTGATTTCTGAGTTTCGATCACTATGGTTATGTAAGATTAGGAGAAGCTGGGGGGAAGGGTATACGGAATTCTGTACTACTTATGCAAATTTCCCATAAATTTAAAATTATTTCAAAATAAAAAGTAAAAAACAAAACTTAATGGCATACAACAAATACGCAGAAAATGCTCAACCTCACTAATCATTCAGGAAATATAAATTAACCATGATGAAATATCATCTCACTCCTGTCAGAATGGCTATCACCAAAAACACAAGAGATAAAGTGTTGGTGTGGATGTGGATTAAAGGAAACCCTTGCATTCTGTTGGTAGGAATGTAAATTACTACAGCCATTATGGAAAAGTGTATGGAGGATTCTCAAAAAACTAAAAATAGAATTACCATATGATCCAGAAATCCCACTTCTGGGCATTTACCCAAAAGCTTTGGAATTCGTTTGTCAAAGAGATGTCTGCTCTTCCATGCTCACTGCAGCACTACTCACAATAGCCAAGTTACAGAATAACCTAAGTATCCACCAACAGATGAATGGATAAAGAAAATGTGGTATATATACACCATGGAGTACTTTTCCGTCTTTCAAAAGAAGGAAATTCTATCATCTGCAACAACATGAATAGAATTAGAGAACATTATGCCAAGCATAAACCAGACACAAAAAGACAAATACTACATGTTCCCATTTATATGTGGAATCCAAAACAATTGTACTCAGAGAAGCAGAGTAGAATGGTGGTTACCAGAAGCTGGAGGATGGGAAAACGAGAAAATAATGGCCAAAGGGTACAAAGTCTCAGACAGGAGGAATAAGAGTCTTTCTTTGAGATCTATTACATGGCATGGTGAATGGCATCAATGATGATGTATTGTACATTTCAAAATTGCTAAGAGACTAAATTTCAAATGGTCTCACCATAAAAGATGTTAAGTATTTGAGGTGATGGATAGGCTAATTAGCTCGATTTAATTATTCTATATTGTATTCATAAATCATAATATCACTTTGTACCCCATAAATATAAATTGTCAATTCACAATAAAAAAAATTTTTAAGTTAATGGCATAAAACAGTGAACATTTTATTATGCTCTTGCTTCTGTGGGTCAGGAATTTGATGGACACAGCAGGAACAATTTATCTCTGCTCCACTATGAATGGGGCCTCAGATGGCTGGGTAGCTCCCTTTGGCTGGAGATGTTTGGAGTAGGTCAGGGGGCCATATATCTAGCCTTGGTTATTCTCTGCATTGTGTTTGGTGGAGCTGAAATGTCCAAGCTTGCTCCTTTATTCAGTGTCTGCATTGAAACTGTTGAATAGTCAGTGTATCGGTTTCCTAGGGCTGCTATAACAATTTACCACAGGCTGGGTGGCTGCAAACAGCGGAAATGTATTCCCTACAGTTCTAGAAGCTAGATATCTGAAATCAAGGTGTCAGCAGAGCATTCCTTCTGAATTGTTCCTTGCATCTTCCTAGCTTCTTTTGGGTTCCAGCAATCCTTGCATTCCTTGGCTTGTAGCTACATCCCTCTATCTTCACACAGCCTTCTTCCCTGTGTCTCTATGTCTCTTTGTGTCCTCTCCTCTTTTTTGAAGGCCCATCCTAATCCAATAAGACTTCATCTTAACTAAGTCGCTGCAAAGACCCTATTTCCAAAAAAAGACACATTCCGAGGTTCCAAGTGGACATGAATTTGAGAGAGACATTACCAAAATCATGATAGCCAGGAACTGGCTACCGTCGTCTTCTCTCTGCATAGCCCCTCCATATGGCTTGCCCGGGGCCTCTCACAGCATGGCAACCTTGGGCAGCCTGACCTCTTACATAGTGGCTGGCTTTCCTCTGAGTGAGCATTCGACGAGAAGCAGTCTCGTCTTCTTAAAGACAAGGCCTGGAAATGGCATAGTGTCATTTTTGCTGTAATATATCAATCAAAGTTGTTCCAGGCTAGCCAAGACTGAAATGGGAGGGAGAAAAGGACTCCATCTCTAAATGAGGAGGAGAATGAACACAAATAAAGAGAAGGAAGTAATGGCAGCTGTTTGGAAACAAACGACCACACACATCTATTACTGACAGCTAAAGGTGCTCCAGAAATACAAATTAGTCGGGAAAAGGTTACAAAATACCATATACATATATAATTTGATCCTATTTTTCTTCTCAAAATATATATATGGATATTTGCATTAAACACATCTCAAAAGGTAAACAGTAAACTAAAATATTAATAGTGGTTATCTCTACAAGTTGAGAATTTAGCTGATAGCAATATTTTTGTTTAACCAATATTTTCTTATGTAGATTACACATGTGTTACTTCTGTAACAAAACAGAAGATGCAAAAAGTAAATGATCCATGAATTTAATATAGGCCAGACTAGTATTTTTTGATGTTTCAACTAGGATATATAAAAATACAAAATGTTTCTAATCCCTAAAATTTTCACCATCATATAAATGGGTTAAAGGTTACATGACTCCATAATATTTCTGTTTTCAAAAAAGAAGATTCATAAATATACATAGAAACAAATGAGAAAGGTAGAAATAAATGTGCAGAATTGGTCCATCTCAAATAAACAGGACTGTGAGAGACCAGGAAATAGGAAAAATCAGTCATAGATTTTAACAAAAGGCGTTCCACAGGCTCCTAAGCAGTTAGGGAATTGTATGCAGAAAGTGGGATCTAGAGACACCTAAAAGAGACAGGAATTAAAGGCAATGACATACTTCTGTCTGTTTCCCAGTTTGTCCCTGCCCTGTCCCCCTTACTGTCAAGCAGACACAAACACTTAAAGACACCGAAACATACCTAAGCTTGGAGTAGTTTCATATAATCCTACCTAATGTGATCAATTATTTCCCTAAAGAACAGTCAAACTCACAAAGAACAGGACAGAAAAACTGGATTGGGAATTTTACTTTAATCCAAACATTCTATGACTCGGATAAAAACAAAGCTGAATGACATCTCCATCTACTCACCAACAGTTTCTTCAGACGCAGCAGTCAGAGATAAAAATTTTTTTGTATTTTCCATCTCCTCTTTACTTTGCCAAGCTTCACTATATTTTGCAGACTAATGAAAGAAAAATTTAAATTTAAACATGGGAAAAGAAGGCAACTATAATCATTGATTTTTTTAATTCCAACACAGCTCCCAGTCACATACATACAAACGAGAAGTCTCAGGCTTTTTTTTTTTTTTTTTTTTTTTTTTTTGGAAGAAATCTGTAAATGTTCTCTGTTCTCACAAAATTCTGTCAACGGATATTCCCAGATAGAGTCAGAGTATATACCTATCATTATATGATAATTACCTTGCTTAAAGTATCATAAGTTTCTGCTTGATATTTTTATAATTAGTGAGTAACCTAAAGATACACCATCAAATTAAAAAATTTCAGACATTTCAAGATTGTTACTCTATTTTATTATATTTCCATTTATAATTCTTGCTTCAAAGGAAATAAAAACTTGAAGATTCAATAGGAAAAAGTGATAGGCTAACTTTTTCTGCTAAAATTTCCAGAAACGATTTATCTAGTTTAAAGCATTGCATTGTGGATGTTCCTTTCTTTCAATCCCAATGGACTTCCTGGGAACCTCATAAAAATGTATTTTTAATTACTACATTTTTAATTCATATTATTGTCTAGGAAACTTTCCCAGAAGTCAGTCAACTGTTCAAGGAGGGCTTTTCAAAAACAACCAATCTCTTATTACACACGGTTCCTTACCTTAAAGGCGCTTTGCTTTGAGGGTCAAAATTCAAGTATGAGTCAGTGGCTATACACCAAGTCAATGCCAACATCTAGTCAACTTCAAGCCCTCAATATTATAGAGAATAAGAGGTCCAAGGCAGCCAAGGAAAGTTATGGAGCACCAGGAATTTGTTGAGCTAGAAGCAAACGAAGTATGGTCCTAGACCTCAAGCACTTTACAGCTTCCCAAACATCTTGACCAGCATAGGAAACAGTCAACTCCCCAAAACTTGTTTGTCACAAAGGTTTACCCAACTAATGAAGCTAACCAGAGGGTTAAACTGTGTCTATTTATCTCCAAACTATAAGGCTGCTGAAGAGAAAGCAGACATACGTACTTGATGAAAGCAGCTATTACACCTCTTCTTATTCCAGAGATGGAGGGGCCCAGCACTTTACCAGCCTGCTGCTGGTAAGAGACGTGGTACCCTGGGCCTGTCCCTGGGGAGATGAACACGCCAGTGCAGTGCTTGAAATCTGAATGCCACAGACCAAGTTTTCTTCTCAGGTTCCAGAAAAATATCACCCCTATAACTCCTTCATATACATACATATACATATCACTGCCACCACCTCCACAAAATAAAGCAATAAAGGCAGGCCACAGTAACACCATGGTCCATGATTTTCTTACTCAACTTATAGAGGAAATTCTTTTTTTCTATATATATAGAAAATATATATTATATACGTACATAAAAAATATATATTTTTTATATATATATATATATATATATATTTTTTTTTTTAGTGCCTCGCTCTGTCAGCCAGGCTGGAGTGCAGTGACATGATCATAGCTCACTGCACAGCCTTGAACTCCTGGGCTCAAGCAATCCTCCCACCTCAGCCTCCCAAGTAGCCAGGGCGACAAGCACGCACTACCATGCCTGGCTAATTTTTTAATTTTTTTGTACACATGGGGTCTCTTTATGTTGTTCAGGCTGGTCTCAAACTCCCAGCCTCAAGCGATCCTCCTGCCTCGGCCTCCCTAAGTGCTGAGATTACAGGCGTGAGCCGCCATGCCCAGCCAGGAGAATTTGTTTCTTACATGTCAGCATAAGGTTAGAGAATTCTTACCTTAATTTCTTCCCACAGCTTTATTCTCATTTCTAGACCTTGCTTCTTAATTTCTTTTTCTCTGCGTTGTTTCTTTGCCAATATTTTATCAAGTTTTTTCATCTTCTGAATAGCATCTTGAAGTTGAGAATCTAATTCTTCTAATTTGTGTTCATCTATATTGTGTGGAAAGTAAAAATAGGTCTGAAGTATAGTAAAATTATAAAGTTTTGTTTCGTTCTTACAATTTGTTCTTTCATTCAACAAATATTTATGGCTTATAGTAATAACTACTATACTGGTACCATGTATCTCGATTTACAAGGTGCTTTCACATGTATTTGTTTATATAATCACCTAACAACCCTATGAAATAGACAGTTATCTCTATTTTACAGTTGAGATAACTGGGTCCTTTCAAATAGGTAACAAATTATAGCACTGGACTCAGAAGTGATTCTCATTATTTTAAATCCCAAATTCTTTCTCCTTCATTCTGTTACACTTTCTATGTTCATGACTAAGAAACAGAAAATAAAGAATAAGACAAGAATCCTGTCCTAAAGCTGCTTCAGTCTAACTGAAAGAGAAGGCGTGTACACAAATGGCTACAGTAAAAAGCCGTATGTCTTCAGTGACACAAAGTGGTTGCAACACATAGAAAGAAGAAAAACTCAAACAAGTATTCCATGTAGCTTGTATCTTTTTTCTGTGATGCTTCCTTCATTCTAATTTCTTGAAGTACCTCAAAAGGTTCTTGAATTGTAGATAATTAGATAATACATAGTAACTTATTTGAAATTAAGGACACTTTAGAACTTCTGTCATTAACTTATGATTAATGATAATAATAATTAACATTTATAGAGCTACCTGATAGGCACAGTTTTAAGTGCTTTATTTTTAAGCATTATATCATTTAATGCTCATATTAACCCTCTGAGGTGGTATAATCACTGTTCTCATTTTACAAATCAGTAAACTGAAGCTATTTTGTAACTGAGTTACACGTATGTCCAAGGTCATATAACAGGTAAATGCCAGTCAGATTCCACCCAAATCTGTCTGACTGCAGAGCCAAAGCTCTTAGCCTCTTAGCCACAGATGATATTCTCTCTTTTTAAATCTGATGAAAGCTGATAATCCAGCAATGAATGAGCATGAATGCTCAAACAGTAAGTCTCAGCCACCCCAGGATAGATCATTAGAAGTGGCATATTATGCTAAGTAAGGCCAAATTTATCAACTTTTGAAAACCCAAAGAGTTCAGTGATGTTTCCCTATAATGGACATCACTTCTTCTTCTTCTTTTTTTTTTTGAGAGACAGTATCTCATTCTGTCAGGCTGAAGTGTGGTGGCATGATCATAGCTCACTGCAACCTCGAACTCCTGGGCTCAAGCAATCCTCCCACATCAGCTTCTGAATAGCCAGAGCCAAGACTACAGGCACATGCCAACATGCTTGGCTAATTAAAAAAAAAAAAAAAAAAAATTTGTAGAGATGGGGGTCTCACTATGCTGCCCAGGCTGGTTTTAAACTCCTGGGCTTAAGTGATACTCCTGCCTGGGCCTCCCAAATGCTGGGATTACAGGTACGAGCTACTGCTCTTAACTTCCTAATTTCCTTCTAAAGGAAAAAAAGAAAGAGGAAAGCAACTTATCCAAAAAGAATACTGATACTATTAAGAAAGAGGTTCCTGGAATCTTATTGCTTATGTACTTCAAAAGCAACACCTTCTAGTTCTCATTCCCAGCTGCCAATCCTAGCATTCTCAGGCTCTGTCAACATAGGTAGTCTATATAGCAGGCATTTTGAAGTAACCCATTCAGTACTAAAACCATATAAACAAATCCAACGTAAACTGTGTCAACAGCTAACCTCAATTATAATATCTTAGGTATGGGAAGGGGACAGGGAAGTGCTGGGTAGAAAAAGGTAGGGTCCCTGGTGAGGGCTCTACCCTTGGGCCTGTACCCACGGACCTAAATGAGAACAGGCACTCCTATTTTCACGCCCAAATATTGCATTTTCCAAGACCACTCTGGCCCACCATGCCCCCATCCTGTGCCCCTATAAACCGGAGACCTTTAGCATACACGACACAAGTGGCTGAGGAATAGAGGAACACACCAGCAGACACCGGCAAACCACTGACTGCAGAACGATGCAGATGCCAAGGGGAGTTCAGTCAGAGGCAGTTGGAGGAGAGTTCAACCACCGGGCAGCCCGACTCCAGGGGAAGACCACCTTCCCACTCCATCCTCCTTCCAGCTCCCCATCCATCTCACTGACAGCTACCTCTACCACTCAACAAAACCTTGCACTCATCCTCCAAGCCAACATGTGATTCGATTTTTCCAGTATACCAGAGCAAGAACCCAGGATACAGAAAGTCCTCTGCCCCGTGATAAGGCAGAGGGTCTAACAACTGATTAACACAAGCCGCCGGCAGACAGCAAAGCTGAAAAAGCACACTGTAACACTCCCACTTGGGCTTTGGGAGTTGTAAACATTCACCCTTAGATGCTGCTGTGGGGGCAGAGCCCAAAAGCACTCCCCAAGGCCTCTGCACCCCCCTCTAGGCGTTTGAGCAGCAAGGCACTGAAGAAGTGAGCCGCACCCCTGTCACACATCATGCAAGGGGGATAAGGGAACTCTCCCATTTCACTTCGTTTCCTGAAAACCATAATCCTGAGTCACCTGACCTAACAGTGAGAGCTGATCTCATCCCAAACATACTCTAAATCACAGCTCTCAAACTTTTTCTCAGCTCCCCTTTACAGCCTTAAAAATTATTGAGAACCCAGCAGGGCACGGTGGCTCACGCCTGTAATCCCAGCACTTTGGGGGCCAAGGCGGGCGGATCATGAGGTCAGGAGATCAGATCATGCTGGCTAACACAGTGAAACCCCGTCTCTACTAAAAATACAAAAAAAATTAGCCAAGCGTGGTGGCAGGCACCTGTAGTTTCAGCTACTTGGGAGACTGAGGCAGGAGAATGGCATGAACCCAGGAGGCAGAGCTTGCAGTGAGCTGCGATCACACCACTGCACTATAGCCTGGGCGAAAGAGTGAGACTCCGTCTCAAAAAAAAAAAAAAAAAAAAAAAAATTATTGAGAACCCATAGTAACTTTTCTTATGTGGGTTATAGCTATTGATAATGAACATATTAGAAATCAACACTGAAAAGTACTGTAAATATTTACTTATTAATTCACTTTCAAAAATAAAAAAACATGCTATTACTAATTATGTTAACATAAGTATCACATTTTATGACAAATAACTATATTGTCAAAAAATTAGTGAGAAGAGTGGTATTGTTCAAATTTGCAATATCTGGATGAAGGGAACACAGCTGGATTCTCATATTCTCATAGGAAGACAGTCATCCTATTGTAATCTGTTGTTTTGGCTAAAGTATATGCAGAAAATTTGGCCTCACACAGATATATGGTTAAAAAAGGAAGAAGAAACTTAATACCTATTCAGATAATTGGATAGTCTTCTTTGATACTACACCAAAACTTAACAGGGGTGGTTTCTTACAGGTTAACTGTTAAGTGAAGTCTGTAATCAAATCAGTGAGCTTTACGTATTTGTTCCATTAAAATCCCTGAATCTGTATTTCATGTTGAATGGATCTTTTATCCTACATTGATCATTTGGAAAACAGTGGTTAACTAAATTATGCAGACCTTCAACCTGTTAACACATTTCATTACACAAAGGCATCAGTTAATATTGCCACCAGTTTTTATAAGAAAATTCTAAGTATTGGAAAGCTATCAACCTCACAGTGACATATGCAGTTTTCCAAAACTGTAATTTTCACTCGAAAGCTCAAGTTTTACCATTGGCAACAAATACTGTCAGTAGTTATCCTCGAAGTAACATGTTTATTTTCTTAAAAAGAAGTCTACCAAATACCCATCTGAATGATAATTGTCAGTCATTCTTTCAAGTAAAAATGGTGTTCCATTACAAAAGTGGCCAGTTCAGCTCTCAACTCCAACCATCACAAAAGTACTTTTCTTCAACACAACCTTCAAACTTTGGCATACAGCATAATTGCTTTATGTATATTTCCCATTTTGCCCCACAGGATGTTAAGAAGATGCATATTTAAGGGTAAAAATTTCATAAAATTGATAGTTTTTACTGATTCATAGCCGGTGACACTGGCTATTTCTTTTTCCTGTCAGTGCCTGGTTGCAAAGAATACAATGACTACTAGTGCATTTTGGTGCCATTGTCCAGATTCATGATAAAGCACCAGGAATTCTGCTCACCATTCCTTTTATACCATCAGTACAAATGTCAGTATGGTGAACACAAAGGCAAACAGCATCTCAGTATTACTATGAAAACAGCTTTCACCTTGCAGAGCCCCTGCAAGGGTCTCAGGGACACCATCTCCCACCATATCCCCATGGCTCTGCAGACCACTTTTTGAGAAACACTATTCTAATTCATTCTGACTAGAATTAATTTATCACTATAAAAAACGTCATTTTTTAAAAATCCAAATGTTATTGGGTGGGATTATCCCCACAAATTATAGCATATATTTTATTGTACAATTTTAGTCATCAAAAAATCAATAAATTGCATCATAAAATGCAGAAATACTCCCTACTTGATTAATGTATAATGACCACAATATTTTATTAAATAACATATTTTGTTATATTTCTAATATAGGTATATTTAAGGGCTCTTAATATTCTTATAAATAAAAAGTGGTGATTACTTGCTCACAAATAGTGTATGTCTTTTTTGGTTTATTATTTCTACTCACTTGATAAAAACACATGTAATACTAACACCTTCAATATGACATTTGTAATTATCATTAACATTTGTAATTATCATTAGCCAATCACCTACTGATTATCCTACCTGAACACTCAGGGATTATCTGATGTTGAACCAAATCCAGATCTTCATCTGACCCCTCTTCAGCCAATTTTATTTTCTCAGAGCAGCTTTCACGCTTATCATCATTACTAGTTCTTCTGTTCTCTGTATTACTGCTTTCGGAGTGGTCCTCTTTACCAGAGTTCAAGTTGCTTGCAGTATCAACCTAAAAATAATTTCCAAAAAACAGTTTCTGAAAATACTGTATTTTTTAAAACTTTACATTTCTAGAATGTTTTGACACTAATGGAAGCAGATGGAGAATGTACATAAATGCAATACACTAGCATTAAAGTATTCTAGAAATATAACACTCTAATTAAACATAATTTAACTACACAATTCCATGTAATAACATTTGCACCATTCTCCAGCAATCCTTAGCAATAATGGAGAAGAGTCTACATCAGTCCTGAAGGGAACTGCTATCTGCCGGGCTCTGGGATAAGGCACACCGGGCCTGCTCCTTGAGCTTACACTGGGATGGGCAGTTAAAGGTCTAATACGACAGCCACTTGCCACATGTGGCTACAGAACGGTTGAAAAGTGGTTAGTCTGAGTTGAGATGTGCTTTCTAGTGACAGTCTCCTAATCAGAACCCTGTGCTTTGGTCATTTATTTATTTCTATGATATTCACAGTTTTTCTATTTCATTTTAGTATCCCTTTACATTTTAGCAAAGTTCATTTTGAAAACACCACTTGACACAGTTGTGTTTTCCTAAGAGAACAGAAAAGGACCTCCGTGGCCGGGTGAGGGAAAAGCAGGGATCAGAGACCCTGGGGTTGGTAAACTGTGATGAAAATCACTTCAGAAGTTAACACAGCCCCAGGGAAAGAGACAAGGCCTCCGAGAGAGAATCAGCCCCTTCTCAAAGGAGCACCTTTCCCTTCTCAACAGACAGAATGTCTCCTCCAGCCCATCTGCTCTAAGCCCTCGGTAGGTTTTGTGTTCTCTCTGCACCACATGCTCAACCATCCGCCACAATCTGCAGTCCCCTCGTGAATCCCCAGGTTGGAAGACGGGCAGTGCTGAGAATGAAACTGCCAGGAATGCAGGCCTGCATGGGGATGTCCCTGCCTCAGGCAGGACATAAACCCAGCAGAACTGAGCTGACTCGGTGGTAATAATCACAGCCATCATTTATGGAAGAATTACTATCAGCCATGGCCTGCCTCATTCACTCCTCACAATGACCCTATGGTGTAGGTTTCACTGCCATGAATTAACAGAGCAGAAAACAGACCTAGCCGAAAATGAAACTAGTGAAGGCCCCATTTATAAATAAGCAACATAGTGTTTACTTTATGTAATCTGGGAGGTGGCTAAACAGGGTTCCCTAATCAAAAACATATTTCTGCCAAAGGCAGAAAAAGCCTGGAATTCCACAATATCCAGTTAATCCTTAAGGCCTTCTGTCCTGTGAAAATGCTAACATTTCCGGGAGAAGCTGCACAAGTTCTGTCCATCATTTATATTGGTATAAATGAACTTAGCAGACCTTCCTCTGAGGCTGGGTTTCACATGGGGGAATAAAGAATACACAAAAGGGAACTAGATGGATAGTATACTTCAGGGTACCCCAAGACCTTTCACACCCATCATCTCATATGATCCTAACTCAGAAAGAGCAGAAGGTAATGAGGCACAAAGGTGAAGCTGGAGAACTAAGCAAATTTCACAAATATTCCCACAGTTTCCCACCCTACTAGCTACCAACTGTCTTCCCCATCCCATTGCCCACTGGCCTCTCTATTCCTAACCCCCTTGCTCTTCTGTCCTGTGGTCTATATGTATGATTTTTCTCTCTTCCTCATTCTTAACACCACATCCCACCTCTATATATATGTGTGGGGGTGTGTGTGTGTGTATATATATATATATCTTTTGGACAGGGTCTCACTCTGTTGCCAAGGCTGGAGTGCAGTGGCGTGATCACGGCTCACTGCAGCCTCAACCTCCTAGGCTCAAGCAATCCTCCCACCTCAGCCTCCCCAACTAGCTGGGACCACAGGTGCATGCCACCACACCCAGCTAATTTTTGTATTTTTTAATAGAAATGGGGTTTCACCACATTGCCTAGGCTGGTCTCAAACTCCTGGGCTCAAGCAATCCACCCTCCTTGGCCTCCCAAAGTGCTGAGATTACAGGCGTGAGCCACCGTGCCCAATCTATTTTTATTCTTTGAGATGGAGTCTCGCTCTGTTGACCAGGCTGGAGTGCAGTGTTGTGATCTCAGCTCACTGCAGCCTCCGCCTCCCGGATTCAAGCAATTCTCCTGCCTCAGCCTCCCAAGTAGCTGGGATTACAGGCGCCCACCACCACACCCGGCTAATTTTTGTATTTTTAGTAGAGACGGGGCTTCACCATGTTGGCCAGGCTGGTCTCGAACTCCTGGGCTCAAGCAATCCTCCCACCTCGGCCTCCCACAGTGCTGGGGTTACAGACGTGAGCCACCGCGCCCAGCCCCACCTCCATTTTTCATGGCTCCACGTCCCCTACTCCATACCTTTACCTTAATCGCAGGAAACACAAATGCCTCATGAAACCCCTTCCTAATATTTAGATTCCTACTTGAAACCCATGGGATTTTTACACAAAGTACAACCACTGGCTCTTTAAAAAAAAAATTCATAAGCAACAACAAGCCAAAATTTTTAGAATGAGAAATATATTATCACTAAACACGTCACTAAAACACTAATATTTTAAGCTCATTTTCTGCTGTGAAAAAAAAATTCAGTAAGAATTTAATAAAAGACAAATCTGAGCAATAAAACTAACCAGCACACCAAGATTTATTATTCAAACAATATGTAAGGTTTTCTAGACGTTGAATGATTTGCAATCAGCAGTCAGCATACAATATATTTGTAGCTTTCTTCCCCAATCTAAGGTGAACCTTGCTGATTTTCTATGAACTTGATTAACACAAATCACAACTTTGAAAACTCTGCTTTCAATATAATTGTCAAAGTTCAGACTGGCTAATAAATATTCTAGAGTTTAACCTGTAGCTTAGCAGGTTGAAATAAAATCTGAGTTTACGTGATCACTGATATTCTGGTTTTAATAAGTCTTGAATGAAGTAATATTAATCTGTGTATTAAAACATGTATAAGTATTAATATCATGAAGTTGCTACTTAAAAAAAATTGTCACCCAGAAATAAATAAGCAGGAATACTAATTCTATGCTATTCTAAAATTTGCAATCTGGACAACCTAGTGAGACCTCGTCTCTATTTAAAATTTTTTTAAAAAGAAATTAGCCACATGTATTAACATGCATGAATATCAAATGTATTATGTATGTATGCTAGGATATAAAAGCCAGTGTGAAAAGCTACATACGTATGATTCCATTTATACAACCTTCTGGAAAAGGAAAAAAAAAAGGGACAGAGAATAGGTCAGTAATGTTAAGGGATTAAGAGTGACATTGGATTATTTACAAAGTAAAAGAATGAAAAAATGTTTTGAGGGATGATGGAACAAACTGTTCTATATCTTGATTGTAATGGTAGTTATATCACTCAATCTGTTTGCCAAAACTGTACAACAAAAAGTGAATTTTATTGTATGTGAATTTTTTAACCAATAACTAAAAGTTAATAGATCAATTGAGATACAATATTAATACATCAGAAGATTTAATATCACAAAGTTAGAAATTCTCCCCAAATTAATCTGTAAAGTGAAAGCAATTTCAATCAAAACCCCAACCGGATTTTTCAGAACTTAAAAAACTGATCTAAAGTACATATAGTCCAGGCGCGGTGGCTCACGCCTATAATCCCAACACTCTGGGAGGCTGAGGCATGTGGATCGCCTGAGGTCAGGAGTTCAAGACTAGCCTGGCCAACATGGTGAAATCCCATATCTACCAAAAATAGAAAAATTAAGTGGGTCTATTGGTTTGTGCCTGTAGCCCCAGCTATTCAGGAGGCCGAGACAGGAAAATCACTTGAACCCAGGAGGCAGAGGTTGCAGTGAGCCTAGATCACACCATTGTATTCCGGCCTGGGCAAAATAGTGAGACTCAAAAAAAAAAAAAAAATACATATAGAAGAGCAAAAAGCCAAGGATAGTTAAGACAGTCCTGAAAAAAAAATAATATGGAAAAGCCACTAACAGATATCAGTAATTATTACAAAGCTGTAAGAGTTAACACACCATATAGTAGTGATGCAGGACTAGATGAAACAAAACTGCATTTTATGCAAAGTCACTTACAGCTAGGGTTCTGGACATATGTTAGGATAATCTGATTAGATGAACCTGCACAAGATTTAGAAAGCACATGTGAGGTAGAAGCATCTTCCTAAGTTTCTGATAGGAAGCTGGCAGAAAAATATCAAAGGCAGCCATCTCTGCATGTCTAGTCACCAGCTTTGTGGTTCTGAGGGACTTGGGGCAGTGGCGGAAGCAGCAGCAGCAACTTTCTGAACTCTGGATTACAGCTCTGGTGGCGTGACCTAAGAACCCATAATCCAGGGGAAGCCCCTCCCTGGACTCCCTTTCTTGCTGGTCGTCTGTTGACTTTGAGGTCTTCTGTTGATTTCGAGGAACTAAACTCTTCTTTGCAGTGGGGGAGGTGGAGGGGGAACACAGTCTCACTTTGTCACCTAGGCTGCAGTGCAGTGGCACAATCGTAGCTCACTGCAGCCTTCAACTCCTGAAATCAAGCTATCCTCTTGCCTCAGCCTCCTGAGTAGCTGGGACTACAGGCATGTGCCACCATGTCCCGCTATTTTTTTTAATTTTTTGTAGAGTTAGGGTCTCGTAATGTTGCCCAGGCTTTAACTCTTATATTCAATCCCTCTCTGCTTGAAATACCTAGAGTGCTACTCCTGAACCACATCATGACAGACAAAACTCTAAGAGTTCCATAATGGAGAAGCTAGTCTACAGATTAAAAAAAGAGTATGAATTCATTAACTTGCAAAAATTTTTTTCATTATAATGTTCAAATTATTCATTTCCTAACACCTTAAAAGAAATAAATGAGAAAACTAATGCTTTAAATAAAAAAAATCAAGTCTAGATATTTTAAGGGAAAAAAAAGGGACAGCTAAAGAAAAAAAAAAAAGGTCACAGCCAGATAATACCTAACAGGGTTTGGCTCTGTGTCCCCACCCAAATCTCATGTCGAATTGTAATTCCCAGTGTTGGAGGAGGGGCCTGGTGGTAGGTGACTGAATCATTGCTGTTATTGTGATAGCGTTCTCACGAAATTTGGTTGTTTGAAAGTGTGTAGTACCTCCTCCTTCACTTTCTCTCTCTCCTCTGCTCCAGCCATGTAGGATGTGCCGGCTTCCCCTTCACCTTCTGCCATGATTGTAAGTTTCCTGAGGCCTCCCCAGTCATGCTTCCTGTACAGCCTGTGGAACCATGCAAACCTCCTTTCTTTATAAACTACTCCGTCTCAGGTAGTTATTTTACAGCAATGTGAGAAAGGACTAATACAATATACCTACCAAATATACATCACATGACCTTTACTAAACCATTTTTTTTAAATACTGAACCTTTTTAAGTAAGTGTTTTTAGTCAAAGTCAATGGTGGCATATTAGATGTTAGAATACAAAACTTCCTTATAAAGAAAAAAAGAGTCAATGCACAAGTTTTAACAAAGTACAATGTAGAGAAATAAACCACACTCCAAAAAAAGAAAGGAAAAAAAGGAAAGTGGGAGGGAGGGGAGGAGCAGAGGGAGGAGAGAGAGAGAGGGAAGGAATGGAGTAGAGTTTTTCTCATATTAATCTAGATTAAACCCAAGAAATCTGCAAGTGCTCCCCGAACACACTGTCTAAGGAGAAAATTTAAAATGGGATATTAAAACCACCTTAGTTTCATCAACTGCTGAGAAGTTAGGGGAAGGAGTTTAAATCTTTTCTAAACAGTAAATTACCTTGCAGGATGCTGGTTCTGTTGAGAGCACCTCCAAAGACGCATTTGAACTTCTGCTCCCAGGGCGTATTCTTGAATTTGAAGCTGGTTTTGAAATTCCATCTAGGTTTCCCTTTATAATATCCATTGAAATCCTGGGACAACAAATAAAATATTTAATACCAAGCGACTTGGATATTTAAATCTTTCATTAGTTAGTGTTAATATCCAATTACTCAGAGGCTTTGTTTTAAAGATTATGTTGCTACTGAAGTCACACTTAAGGGTTCCCCAGCTTCACCAAAAGATATCTTGTGTACACGGATTGTTAAATCTTATGCCACAGTATACATAAAATATACTGCCCAGGATGTTAGATACTGAATACGGCTAAAAGAGAATGCAGAAGTGAATGCCATCTCGGTTGCTTCCTGGGCCTCCAGGAAGAAACACTTCCTGTGTCCCTGGTCTTCCCCGAGGGAACATTCAGGGGCATCGCTGTCTCTCAAGCAAGATCCACTTCATCTTAGTGATTGCTAAGTCCCTCCTGCTACTTTAATTTTTGAAAATGAGTCTCACTCTGTCACCCAGGCTGGATGGGGACAGTGGCGCGATCTTGGCTCCCCGCAACCTCTGCCGCCCAGGTTCAAGCAATTCTCCCTACCTCAGCCTCCCAAGTAGCTGGGATTATAGGAGCCCGCCACCACACCCAGCTTGTGTTTGTGTGTGTGTGTGTGTGTGTGTGTGTGTGTGTGTGTGTGTAAGTAGAGACGGGTGACCTCATGTGATCTGCCGCCTCGGCCTCCCAAAGTCCCCTTGCTACTTTCTTTCAGTTTTGCCTTCTTTTTTTGTAGCCTTGCCTACTCTAGCTCAGCCTTCTTCCTTCTCAGCTCTGATTTCTTCTCTCCCCTGTGGTGCTGCATTTTCATGGAGTACCTAAGCACTGCTCTCATTTTATCAACTCTCTCCTTCTAAAACCCATAATTCTATTTCTACCCTCTGAAGCAAGAGAACAAAATCTACTTCCCTCATTAGAGGACAGATTTTCATTATCTGGCTACACATTACCAATCTATTTAACTATTTTTCATGTGATATTATCCACAGGCCTCTCACCACCCTGGCTGTTCTATATCTAGTGCTATTTCCGGAAGCAGGAAATACTAGGAGGGGTGGCATAAGCTACAGACACAGTGAGCGATGCTGCACATTGATCCTTCCAAACCGTGTGGCCTACCAAGACCATTCCAGCTCTGTCCTGTGACACTGGGGCAACACGCATGCTGAGTCAAACGGGAAGAGAGAGAGAATTCCAGCTTTTGCCCTCTCATACTCGGCTTTGCATGTGAATGGGTGCCTTCCAACAAATCCTGTCCTAAATTCCTACCAATTATACATTCAACCATAACAGAATGAAAAAGGCAATTGCTTCTACCCAACAATGTTCTTTTCTTATCCTATGAAATGACTCATCTTTCTTTTGCTTGTTGAACAGCAGAGGCAGGGTCCAGAGAAGCTGTGGACACAGGAGAAAGCACAAATACAAACAACCTGAGGCTTCACCTAGGTACACAGAGCGATGTTATGGCTTGGCTTCCAACCATTCAATGTGCCAAAGCTTATGCTTAAGAGACCAGGAGGTCAGCTCTTCCCATCTCAGCAAATGAAAAAGGCATTGATCTCAACATTATTCAAACTCTGCAAAAGGGTTTGGGCTCACTCAGGAAAGCACTGACATTATTATTGTGGGATGATGAATCACCCTGGCCCCTCACATCACAACCAAAAAGCATAAGTCACCAAAAGGCCAAATGTCTTGTAAACGCCCTAAGCAGCCTGTCAAGGGAGACTTATTGCTGCTTGCAGAGGGAGCAATGAGATGCAAGCATGCGCAGAGCCGCATAATACATGTCAATAAAGGCAGAGGCACAAGGAACCAACAATGACCTGGATCAGCTAAAGGGCTCCACAAATCTTTCATTCTGCTTTAGAAATAGGTCTGTTCTATTAGATTCACTCCTGAAAATAATAAATTAAATAAAATGCAGTTCCTGAGGTAGGTGGGGATGCAGTAACAGACTATCTTATGAATTTGGCCATCTAGAAAAAGGGATGGATAAAGGGTATTAAAATTGGATCTTACAGATGTATTTAAGCATTTGGAAAGAAATTGTAACTGCCACATAGAAATTCCAGAAGAAAAATAAAGCCCTGTACAAGAAAAAAAGCAATCAAACAATATGTAAATAGTTATAATTATGTAAGCATTGAATGTTGACTTAACCAAATATTATGCCTTAATTATACTGAGCATACGCAAGAAGGAGTGCACAAAAGGAAGCGAGTAGTAACATAAATGTAATCTGTTATCATAGGAAATCAAAGAGACTGTCCAGAAATTGATAAAGCCAAACAATAGTTAAATATAATACTTTAATGAAAGTAAAAACTAATTTTATAAGTAATAAAAAATATGAAATCTCCAACAGACTGGAAGGAACATAAATTGATAAACATAAAGATAAATTTCATAATCATAGAATTAATGACTTAGTAAGCATGACACTAAGAGCATAAATCAAAAAGGAAAATAACAGATGTGGCTACATAATAATTAATGCTCTTGAGTCTCAAACATGAAAAAGAACTCTTAAGTGAAATTAAAAGGAAACTGAGAAACTGGGGAAAATAAATGCAACATAGATGACATACAAAAGTGTAATACATTCACATATTTATAGAGCTCTTACCAATCAGTAAGAAAAAAAAATTCTAATAGAAAACTGGGTAAAGATTTTAAAATGAAATGCACATATCAAAAAAATAGAGAAAGACATACGAATTGTCGACAATCCCACTTTAAAAAGTCCAATTTCTCTAATTAAAGGAATATACACAAGGGGACCTGAAAGATGATGACACATCAAGGAAGTAAGAGTAGTGGGTTCTGGATTGGTGGGTTCCTGGATGTTCTTGTACCCTTGCTTATCTTATTTTCTGTTTTGCTATTAACTATATCTTGTATTTATAACTAAAGAATTCATTTATTATAGAAAGATCTCTAGAATGTACTAAAAGGTATTTGAAAATAAATTAAAAATCACCCAATGTCCCACCACCCTGAGCTAAACACTATTGGTACATCTCTTTCCCATTTTTACTCTACGTGTTTTTCAACAAAATTGGACTAACGTGTTTCTCGCCACTACATAATGAGCATTTTCTTATGACATTAAAACACTTCAAAATAGAATCGTATTTACTTCACGATACTTGATTGAATAGACAGATTAGACATGTGACCAGATCCTAAATTGTAACAAGTGCCAACTTTTTGTAATATTCATTTCAAATAAGATTAATTTAAAGTTTTTCATACAGGCTTGTGAGAAATGCAATCAACATAGATGAATTAAAGCCAACATGGAGACATATGGCTGCTATAATTTGGTATTTTGAGATGAATAAAAGAATCAAAAGAAAATGAATCCTCCTCTGTTGAGTCATTATGAATAGCAAGCCTTTAAAGAGTGGGACGAATTTATTTTCATTATTTTTATGTCTAAAAATTATTTATGTATGGTCAATTTTTTTCCTTTATATATTTGTGTATTGTGTAAGGAATACTTGCCCATGCAGAAAAACATCAAATAATACAGGTGAACATAAAAAATGTTTTAAGTCAAAATTCAGCTTACCCCAAGAATTAGTGTTAATAGAGACTTGCAAGTCTCACTTTTTTAGGCATATGCAAACCTTCTATCCTTTATACCCACCGACTCCTCCCCAATGCAAACACATGCAAACGGCATGGTGCTTTGCAACTTGCTTTTTCACAATTAACAATCTATTTCATATATTTTTCTATATCACCATTTATAGATATACGTCATGCTTTCAAACAACAGCATAATATCCCATACGTGTAGCACTTTTTTAATCAGTTAACTTTGGTGGTATGTAGAATATTTGCTATTAAAAGCAATTCTAAAACTTGCTCAAGATGTATCACAGATCTAAAGTAAAACTTAACACTACAAAATTTTCTTTTTGTCATTGCTGTTATTGTATTTGTAGTAAAGACGGGGTTTCACCATGTTGGCCAGGCTGGCCTCGAATCCCTGACCTCAAGTGATCTGCCTGCCTCAGCCTCTCAAACTGCTGGGATTATAGGGGTGAGCCACCAGGCCTGGCCAAAACCATAAAATTTCTAAAAAATACATGTGACTGTGGGTTAGGCAAAAATTTCTTACATACATCATCAAAGGCATGATTCATAAAAGAAAATATTGATAAATTGGAAGGCATCAAAATGTAAAACTTGTACTCTTCAAAAGATGTTAAGACAAGGAAAACAAAACCCAAAGACTAGGAGTCTTTGGGTATCTGACACATATCTGACAAAGGACGCATATCATGAATATATAAACAAGTATCAAGACTCACTAACAAGAAAACAAAGGATTTAGACATACACATCACCCAAGATGATGTATGGATGTCAAAAGAGCACATGAAGAGATGTTAATCATTATTACTTCTCAAAAAAATGAAATAAAAATCACAATGAGATACCACTACACACCTATTTAAATGACAAAAATTAATTTTTTAGAAAACTGACAATACCAAGTGCTGACAAAGTTGGAAGCAACTTTAACACTCATACTGCCAGTGACAGTGCAAAATCATCACTTTTCAAAACTGCTTGGCAGTTTCTTACAGTTAAACATATACTTACCATATGACTCCACAATCTCATTCATATTTACCCAGGAAACGAAAACATATTCACACACACACACACACAAAAACTATACCTGCATATTTATACCAGTTTCATTAATAACAGCCAACAACCGGAAAGAACCCATCCGAATGTGCCTCAAGTAGGAAATGGATAAATACACATAGGAAATGCATAAATATACGACTGTACATCCATACAATGGACTATTGTGTCCAGAATTGGTTCCAGAATTGGTTCCTTCCGGTGGGTTCTTGGTCTCCCTGATTTCAAGAATGAAGCCACGGACCCTCGCCGTGAGTGTTACAGTTCTTAAAGATGTGTGTCCTGAGTTTGTTCCTTCAGCTGTTCAGATGTGTCCAGAGTTTCTTCCTCCCGGTGGGTTCGTGGTCTCACTGGCTTCGGGAG